CCCTTTTATCCTTACTCTAACTAAGCCACATCTTACATTCAGTCAGTATAGTTTTATTAGCCCCTAATTTTGCGTTGGGCGCTAATAAAAGCGGATTCCGAGTTTTAGTCTATAACTTAAAAAAGAATACCGTGTGGGAATTCACTACACCTTCCTGAAAAGGAATAAAAACATATTAATTCTTGATGAGTGAACTCACACGATTTGATCTAAAATTAACTCTTAAAGCTTAACTGCTGTTAACTATCGGCTCTTTCGAAATATTTAACCGTGACGATCTAATTATTATATCTTAAGATGTCACGGTTGTTAGGCTTTGTTGTTCTTTGATATTTTCAAAAGAAGTAAGCTTTGCTATGGTACATATCGGGAAAATGTTGAAAAAGGAATTTACACGCTCCTAAAGATTTTATCTAATGAACAATGGAGAAATGCATCCTCTATGATATCTGCAAAAATCGGAAGGCGTATACGTATAGAACTATTAATTGGTGAGATAAGTAAATAACTTTATCAACAACTTCATCTTAAACATAAGTCGGTAGCTGAGTTTCATGATCTCTGCGAGTACAATGTAAAATGGTTTCTAAATTTATACACGGCTGCCACTTTCTAGGTCTTGCTGATGGTCGCAGAATTATAGAAAACACAACGCGACCGAGGCGACGAAGTAAGTGGGAACACAATTTATTTGAGGAGAGCCCGTCGCATCGGACGCTCGTAAAGCGCGTTGTCACACACGATTATATAAATTAAGGAGGCACTGATCGTATCATCACGTCGCTCTTGTAATTTTCTTGATAAGCGGTTACTGCCCACTTTAATGGCATCCCCGTGGACTGCGCCCGGCTAGGGAAAAATAAAGGGACTATTAAATCCGTCCGGGCCTTACAACGATGTCCGTGCAAAAAGGAAAGTAAAACTTACAGGATGTAGCTATAATGTTGCTTTACTTTGGAAAAACAACTTAAAATAATAGGTACGGTAATTACTTCATTGTATGTTCCTTAAAATGGTATAAATAACAGCTAAATCATTTTATGTACGGATTACACTGAATCTGTAATATTATTGTAACATTTACAATGCAGTCCAGGCATTCTTATCTTTTATTTGTTAAAGTTACAAATTTATAAAACTTCTACGTGAAACGAAAATTTTGGCTGTTATATATATTTATTTCTAAGTTTAAATCAAAACCACAAAAATCACTGCTTGCAATCGTAGTCTTAGTAGAAAAGAGTCTTGAATCTGCGGTTCGTCTGCGATCGACAACTTGGGTGGCCGAGATGGCATCACTCCTACACGCACGCACCTAATTATTTCAACTCGAATGTAAAAAGGTAAGACTCTAATTCGCCCGATGGTAGCCACACATTTTAGTTTTTGCCGTGCGGCATTGTACGAGCTGCGGTTTTTTCTGTGATAGATAAAAATGAGAAATTGATCACGCGCACAATGTATAAGACAAAGTTTAGTCAGTGGCTTGATATTTCGCCTCCATTATCTTCCAATTGTCAATTTAGCTTTATGAAAGAAGCTGAATGCGCATTCATGAAGCTTCCTTTTGTCATTTCGATTTTAATAAGCACTAGTGACCATCATAGTGTCTTGCTAATGCAGAAATTCAAAAAAGAATGTATGTAAATTGACATAAACATAACATTAAAGATAACAGTTTTTTTTTTAATTAAGTGTTATAGTGTATAACGTTGCTAAATAAAAATAAATTACGGACTTTTTCATGTCTACTTTTGGTTTAACCTACGCAGTCTGCCCGTGACAGTGGACTCTGTTGTCTAGTGTTTGAAACGTGCGTGAATCATATATTATCATTATTGCAGAAAAAAAAAATAAACACACTCATTCACACTCCATCAAAAACGCTATTTACCTATAATGTACATGCTAATACAATACGGTGACTTATAGTTATATATGTATAATATGCTCTTTTTATTTCAGCAGAAAAATCAGCTATGAAAGAGCGAAGTCACCTGTCACAGGCATTTTATGCTTATTAGGTGACTTCGATCACTGATGCCCAGTTTCCGAAAGGCCAATCAAAGCAGCAATCACATAGCACTATGTCAAAAATGATCAGCTGTTAATCTCTTGTTAAACTGCATTGTCCGTTAATCAGTGACTAATTGCAAATCAAAATCAATGTTGTTTTTAGACGTTCTAGCAACTCAGATCATGTTAAACAATGATTGACAAGAGATTTATCGTAAATTAAAATTGATTGTGCTTTCGGAAACTGGGTGTGAATATCGCACATTGATAAGAAGACCGTCACTATACAAAAAATACTACATTTTTGCAAAACCACCTATTCTCGTAACTATAATAGTTTCCGGTATATGGCTTAGTGTCGAACTGCTTTATCGACATTTTGACGCGATCTATTACGACAGACCGCCATTTTTTCATTTGTGACTGTAAAGCCAACCAAAAAGGTTGTATCTAGTGTATTTCATACTGACATTTTCTGTTTAAATGCTATTTGGATTAAGAATATTTCGTAAGCACTAATTAAATTTTATACGAACAACGTCACATTTGGTTAAGTGTCGTGTTTTAATATAATTGTTTTTTTTAAACTTGCAAGATCAAAAAGACATACTGACATTTTTTGTTTTGTGTCAATGTTCATTTACAGAAATTGAAGTATCGGAATAGATGATTAAATCAGAATGTCGTAATTTATTTAGTGTCGCATTTCTTTTTAATTAAATGGAGGATATTGATTTAATAGTACTAATACGATGTCATTATTTTTTTAGTGTCTTTCTTCCCTGTTGCCAGACTGAATATTTGTGTACAATTGTGAAGTAACAGAGTAAATATTGTCTTGGTATTAGCGATCGACCTATTAGAAAAGTATCAGACAAGAAAGAAGAGTAAGGTAAATTGGTTTCTGAACAAAGAGGCAAACACAATAATTAGAAAAAAAACCTTTCTGAAGAGGCATTAATTGAAGTACGAAGTCAAATCAGTAGTATACCACGAATCGAAAATCAATGTTTATGTTAACAGACTTCAAAAGAATTTACTGTCGGAAGAAAGAGTGTAACCAATTTATACAAGGATTATAAAGTTGATTTCATCGAAAATAATATACAAATTTTTATAGAAAAGTTTTCAACATTAGTTTTTTCATACCTATATTATCACTATCAGTTTGATCTTTGAACAGCGTACAAGATTAGAAGAAAATTTAAAAGTTAAATATACAAATTCATTTCAAAGATAAAGACGAAAGTAGAACAGAGAAGGAAAATGATAAAAAAAATAATTATTGTATTGTTTCTTGTTATGACTTGCAAGCAGTTAGGATCCTGCCTAAAAAGGAAATATCAATCTTTTACTATAAAAGTAAACTGAATTGTTTAAATTTTATAATTTCTGAACTGGGTAAAGATCACACTGAATGCTCTTTTTGGACAGAAATAGAAGGAGAAAAGGAGAAAGAGGTTTTAATAAAATAGTAGTAGTAGTATAGGACGTCTGTATTCAAATATTCAGAATAAAATGTCCTTATTACATCCAGACTTCGATTTTAAATTTTACTAGGACAACTGGTGTGGGCAACATCAAAAACCAATTGATCTGTATTTGTATGCAGTAAAAACTTTGCCAATAAGGTCTATTACCCACAAATTTCTCATTAAGGGTCATACCCAAAATGAAGACAACGCTGTTCTATCAACAATTGAAAAAGAAGTGAAAAAAATGTTAAGATCTGGTCCTATTTATGTTCCCGACCAATATATTGTAGATATATTGTAATAAAGAACGCACGAAAAAAAGAAACTCATACATTGTTAATCTGATGAGCGATAGTGATTTTTACGATATTAAGTATGTTTCTGAAAATTCGTTTTGAAAGATTATGGAAGAAGAAGTAAGTAATTATGATAGGTGATATTAAAGTTATGAAAATGATAAAAGAATTAAATTATGAACCTGCTAATGTCAAGATAATATATGACATATTCATTTGAACTTTGTTTCTATTTTCATATGTACATAATTATTTGTAGAAGGTTTTTTATTTTATTTTTAGAAATTGAGTGATTTTTAAAATTTTTTTAAATGGTTATAATTTTATATTAGTCTTAAAATGTTAATAAACGTTATTTAGCCAGCTGTTCCAGTCGTAGATAGGTTAATGTTTAAGTATTTCGAATTAAACTGTGCTATAAAACATATTTTATAAATAAAAACTTAGATTTTTCTTTGCGTAATTTCATTTTTTCTATTATTATTGTGTCGGTAAGTTGTCATGAAGTAAGAAATGCTGAACTTTTTAATTATTTGAATAACGTCACTAAAAACTTTTTTTGGAAAAATAACTTATATTAAAAATACTTTTTCAGAAAAAGTGGATGCATTTTAGGCGCACTTAATGCCCTCTGCAATAAAAACCATAAAATAATATTATTTTTATATTATTTCTTGACCAAAACAAGTGATTATTGTTTGGTAAAACTTTAAATGCTTCTATTGAAAAAACAGCTTTTTTGGATAGTGACACTCTTCTTATCAATGTGCGATATGATAAATGTAAACAAATATTTAACGTAATAAACAAACAAACTAAATTAGGAGAGGTTGACTCGGTTACGCTGTTGTTATCGCTAAGGGATCAATTCCGGGTGTTGTGGGTTCGATTCCCACACGAGAAAAGTGTTTGTGTGAATTGTTGTGAATCTGGAATGTTGGTTTTACAGGAGGGTTGATGTTGTTGTTGTTAGCCAATTTATAAATTAAAAAGATGATTCGCATGTTATGTCGACCCAACCTAGCTGGGAAAATGTCAGGAGGATGATAATGATGATTTTGACACAACAACAAAGAAATCAATACAGTTTGCACATTTATATTAATTTGTGGGTGGGGTTTAAAAGCGTAGATAAGATTTAGATTGATTACTGTATGAAATACGATTAATAACTAAAATATCGACATAAAAAGTACGTAAAAGTACACCCTCAGCCGTAACTTAATTTTTTTAGAACGCCGCCATCCATAGATTGCGATAGCGAGCGCGGCGCGCAAGCATCCGGGAGAACGGGCAGGCGGAAGAGTCTGAAACAATGCGTAGGTACGGTGCCCGAGTAGTGTGCACATCCGCGGGATATTTGTACGATAGCGGTCGCAATTAGGGCCGTCTGGGAGGCTATATAGGCGACGCTATCGCGGTGTGCGGGGCGTCGCGGCCCGCTATCGTGTGAGAGATCGCCCGCCCCGCCGCGGCCGGCCGCTATCGGGGCCCCCTTTGCTGTCGCAGCGGCTAATGTGGACAGGTTGGCGCGACGCTAAGGGTGTTGCGATTTATTCCTTCGCTAGGCCGTCGAGTGTTTTATGGGGGCGCTTTGCGTGGGGAACGACTGCGCAATGTTCGCTATGCGAGCGTGACATACGCGATTCACGGGAAGTGATAGAACTTTTATTTGGCTCTTGATTGGTTTTAAATTGGGAATTTAGGCATACGCTGACTGAAATACGGTTTACGCCGTCAGTGACACAAATTGTTTAACTTTTCAAGATACATACATACTTACAAGATGACATTTTTATTATATTTATAATAAGTTATCGAATTGAGCGTTTAGTGCAACAAGTATGGAATTAATTTAAATTTTATTCCTTATTAAATTTAATTCCATGAACCGTGAACAACAAATTTACAATAATTAATATCAAGTTTATAACTCACCGTAAATATATCAAGCATAAAAGTCTAATCTTAACAACATAATTAGCTTTGGAATATTTAAATCGGCAATCGACTCTAACTATTGCGCCGGCTGTAATAAAAGTGTTGGCGTACAAGTCGTAATACTTGATTGCGCCTCGAGTGAAATGGTGCCCAGGGAAATGGTCGTTACAAAAACATACCTATATCACGTGTTAGCCAAGCCAATCAACCTGTGATGTTACTCTTTTCTTATTATAGTATACATCACGTAAAGACAAACTAAAACATATACATATTGATGATACATTTAGAAAGTAAGGGACAATTCAGAGAGAACTTAGCCAAAACAGGATTTCACGACAGTTAGTGCGTTGCCTGAATATATCACGGCTTACCATCAGATGGGATGATAAACAGACACTGGCCAGGTCGAGACTAAAAAAAATTCAACATAAACAACTGCAACCTATGTGAAGTTGAGTCATTTTTCATAATTAAGTAATAAGGAAATTTGTCATTTTTAGAGTCGTTGCGTTGATCATCACAACAGATATATTGTAACCGAATTACATAAGACATTTAAAGAAATGATGCAATTAAGAAATTCAACGTTGTACAATATTAATAAGTGTTCACTACCGTTATTAATTCCACCTAAAACACCGGACTAAGCCGAGCGGTGCCGCGGACCGTGGCCAGTAATAACGGAAAGCTCACGGGCAACACGGCCTATGGGCTATGGTTGCGGCGCCTCTCTGTGTCGCGCGTCTGATACGTAACTGTTTATAATTAAGAGTGGACGTTTAATGGTCGATGACGTTAACGGCGCGTGCGTCGGCGCGAGCCGCTTCCGCGCTACGCCCATCGAAGAAAACACTCCCTATGAACCTCCTGTGTAATTGTTAAACGGATCGATTTCTTGTAATGCGTACGGGACAGCCTAATAGTGCCTCCAGGTGCTAATGAGACGACTACCACAGGCTTTCCGCAACATCGTACGAGCAAACCTGTCCAGTACACTTCGTGCGATCAATTAGGTATTATCCAGCGCAATTAGAGGAGCATTTTGAATCATGATACTGCAGCTTGGTCTGTTGGTGCCTTCACTATTTTTTTTTCATGTGGGAATGTGGTAAGCTAGCTGTCGGTTACCGTGAAGTGCCACACAGAAGCTTTTGCTGTTGCACGAAAGGTAGGCTCATCAAAGGATCTCTTCGACCGAGTTACCACCTCGTCTTGACGGAGGGGCTCAGCACCCGTCGCTTAGTCCTCAACGAAAGCGAAGCCCACACTGGGCCGGCCTGTGGTGTGATGCCGGTCCGAGAGTGCCGCTCTGAGTGGGCTTTTCGATCCCACTTAGAATGTTGGAGAGGGGGAGCAACTCCGGCTTTCCAATGCGTTCGAGGTGGAGACGCAGGAGAAGAGAAGTATTGGTATTGCGCTTCGCCACTCTCCCTATCCTCCGCGACTAGTAGAGCGTCACCGCTGTTGCAATAGTGGTGGGGCCGCGGGCGGAGAGCATCGATATTGCGATGAGCCGATCTCCATACCCTCCACGGCCGAAACATGGTGGACGGTGCATTTCGACTAATGAGTTAGTCTTTTTTGAGGTTGATAATGTATCCGGAACCATCCATGGGCGGCAGTAATTATTTAAGATCGGGTGAAGTGCATGCCAATTGTTACATAAAAAAGTGATAAATCTTAAGTTTGTTTGTTAACCCAACTAACGATCGCAGGGAGAGTCCATCCATCTGGGACTAACTATGTTTTGAAAAACCAAAGTAATCTATTTTAGACTATTTAATTATTAGCTTAAAGCATGCAGGAGCAATTCGTAATAAATTGGGTAGTATTAATGAGAAAACAAGTCACACTCACTTTTCTGGCATCATTAGAATCTGTTCGGATTTTTTGCCGCTATAGTACATATTTTATACCGTAATACTCGAAACAGTTTCTTAATCATAAATAGTGTTCAAGAAGTCTTTTACTGCAAACATTAATGTGGGGCGTGGCGATTACTGCTAATCTTACCAGCTCGGCAAGGCATTCGCAAGACCTCTTACAAGATAATGATGATTAGATCGCTGTCACCTCTATACAAAATATGCACGCTTTATCTGACGCAAAATATTGTAAAATCGTTATGTTCTTTGTACATAATAAATATTTTATAAATATTGATATTCAATTAATTTTATAATTATAGAATTTTTTTCATGGTGCTAATCTCTGCACTTAAGTAATTTAACATCATGCCTTAGCCACTAAGCTGCAATCAGGCAGCGAATGCCGAAGACGTGGGTTCGATACACACAGCGGCGATAATCTTTCGTACTTTTTCTACAAAATTTTGAAATTAATTGAATATCGTTTTACCGACCGCCTTCAGTTGTTGGGAGCCGAAATATCCTCAAACCTCAACTTTGGGCGGTTCATTGAGTCTAAAGCCAGCTGCATGTAAGTTAGGCGTCCTTGCAAAGGTGCGACGGTACTTCACGCCGAGGCAGCTTCTTGCTCTATACAAGGCTCAAGTCCGATCGTGTGAGGAGTACTGTTGCCATATCTGGGCTGGGGCTGCAAAATGCCATCTGGCTGCGTTGGACTCAATAGAGAGGCGTGCGGAAAGGCTCATTGGTGACCATAACTTGGTTAAAACCAATCTCACTAGCCTTGAGCACAGGCGCAGAGTCGCCAGCCTCTCGGTTTTCTACAGGATACATTATGGAGAGTGTGCGTTGGAGTTAGTTACATGATCTTATTCCTCCCGCCCCTTTCCATCATCGGACAACCAGGCGTTCGGCGGGGCTCCATCCTTATGCTGTCGACGTTCCACGTACAAGAACAAAGCGATTCGCTTCTTCATTTATCATCCGTACAGCTAAGGAATGGAATAGCCTGCCTGCGTCCGTCTTTCCGTCCGAATACAACGTCGGCGTCTTCAAGGCAAGAGTGAATAGGTTTCTACTGAGCTAGCGCGCTTACCATCAACGGCTGCATCGCCACTTACCATCAGGTGGGATGGCAGTCGCAATATCGCTTTTTCCTTCAGCATTACATAAATTTTTTAACTGAATTTAATTTGGAGATTTGATATTTTATGTTTGCTAAAACTCCATACGACTTGCCCGGTATCAACTATACTTAAAATTTAGATTTTATGAAACATTTTAAATAACGATTTTTCTATGAAAAAAAAAAATAGTGTGTACATACAATATTAGTGTTCGGCACTAGAGGCCGTGGATTCGATTCCCACACGGGACAAGTATTTGTGTGACCCACAGATAATTGTTTCGGATCTGTGTGTTTGTTTCGCAAGGAGGGTTGACGTCAGGCAGGCGGCCAGTCGTAAAAATATCGTCAAAACCGCTTACAACATGATATCACATATTGTGCCGACCCCACCAAGGCGCGATAAGGGCAGCAGGAGGATGAGGATAGTTAAAATATCTACATACTATATACTAAAAAGTTTTTTAAGCGGCCCTTTATTGATTTGAGCGATTAAAATCTATTAAAGTAATGGATATAACACAAAATATCTAATAATAATTTCAACCCAAACATTTTACCCAATAAAAATATATGCTGCGCCCTCCTAGTTCTAAAGACATTACAATGTTGTACGATGAATATTGATGTGGAGACATCGCAATTTATGGAGATTTCTCCTCAGTCTCAGGACTGACAATCATATGTAATGTCCATGCTTACAGCTCAGCGGTCACTAGATGCATACTTTCCGACATTGTTGAACGGAAACAGAAGTCGTCCAAGCAATATGAAATTTATATTCTAGGCACATGTCTAATTATTAGCATTGACTATTACAAGTACCATTGCGTACATATTTGTTTAACATATAAAATGTAATAAAAAGATATTAAGATAAGTAAGGATTTAAATTCCAAAAAAATTATATGGAAGTTTTAATAGTTTTAGATTTATTTTATAAAAATTTTAAGTTTAAAAAAAACTAGTTAATAGCAATTTGTTTTTAGATTCTTTCGACTTAACTTTTTAACAAAAAAGAGGTAGATAATTAAAGAAATGGCACAATGGGTACTTATTGTACATACTATTAACATAAAATAGGAATTGACGTACAATTTGAAGATCACATTTAAACGTGAAAGTCATCATTTCTTCTACCTCTCAAGTGCAATGGATATTTACATTATTATACGTGTAAAAAGAAAAGTATGTACTTTATTTAATATTGATGATAAATATGGCTACCACAGGTGCCTAGCGACTGACGACGACATTGCTAGACGTTTAAGAACGCGAGACTGCAAAAGCCTAAGCAATACTTATGACTAAACATAAGACATATATCTGGTACCCAGCGGAACGTACAAACGGTTTGACATTGAAAAATAAGTGACGTATCCCCCACGAGCGTAATTCAAATGGCGAGTTAAATATTTATAACGTAACTCCGTTCAGTTCTATGTTAAATTCGATTCCGTATGGGATAAATTTCGCAACTCATTACGTATTCTCTATAGGCATTTATGATCGTAATGCGGAAAAATTGAAGTAAGATTTGGTAATAGAAAATCGTAGTAAATATGAAATTATTTAATAATATTTACAAGATTTTTTTGTTGTTAGGATATGTATGTTGACTGTTTGCATTTTTTTTAAACTTTGCCCTCACTTCAGGATAAAATTATCATCTGTTATAAGAACGTTTTACAAACATAAATTGCACGAGGAGAAACACCCAGATGCCAAACAACTATCTGGGTGGCACAAATAGTTGTCCCGTGTGGGAATCGAACCACGATGACTCCGTGGCAGCTGCGCCACCATCATCATCAGGAGTCATCCTTTATTATTTTATATTATTTCGCATTATTTATTATTTTATATTATTTTTAATTTATTAATACATTTACGTAACATAAATATGTTATAAAAATTACATTTGTTTAAGCGTAATATACGGCAACGGATTGTTTCTATAAAAGTTGCAACGGTTATGTAAGTTTTATAGAATTTCTTTCTCGTATCATTCTGGTTCA